AGTGCAATGTTATTTGAACAGTGGTTCTTTATCATAACAGCTATATCTGTGGGAGAAACTCCAGCATGCTCAAACTATAAAATAATATATGTTTTAAATACATATTTTTAACAATTTGATAACAAATGTTCAATCACCTGTAACCCCCACAGACCGATAAGGGTAGTCCGATCCGATCCGGGAAGTCACATTAGGGCCACCGGAGCGACCCACTGTAAAAATAGCGGAAAATTTAAAACTTTTTATCAGAACATGTAAACTTATAAAATCAGTTTTCACTATTTAAAAATAAAACATATTTCCAAACACGTATATGAATCAAAATACAATTACATGCCCCCTAATCACATGTACCATACTCTGCAACAACGTCGGACGAACTCCCTTACTGAAGTCGATAGATGCACTGGTACAATTCTTTTAACCTGAAAAGGTGAGTAATAGAGTGAGCTTTGGAAAGCTCAGTAATACATAACTACCAGATGATGCTGAAGAACGTGCAGATACAAATAAACATATTTTTCCTTATCGATTCAGACATTTACAGATCTTTATACTGAGCAGAGATTATACGGATATTTCAGGTAGTAACAAATAGTATTCATTCCAGATGGAAATATTTCGGTTGTCTAGGTTCAGGAGATCAGAATAGGTTTTCTAGTGTGTTCCTAAAAACCATGTAACTTTTCAGATCTTTTTAAAACATATATATATATATATATATATATATATACCCCCATCCGTTCACATCATAAATGTGTAGGTTCCCCAGAACCATACACCCAACCGCACATGCCATTTAGACCCTGAGCACAAAGCCGAGGAGTCTGTAGATAATCTTCCTCCAACAATAAACCCCCCAGATAAAACATTTCTCCGTCGGTAAACGGAGATATCAAAAATCAAAACATAATTCAGATCAGATATCATAACAGAATCCAGGTTAGGAATCAGAACAGATTTCAGATCAGATGTCAAAACAGAATTCAAATCAGAAATCAGATAAAATATTCATATAAGTAGGGAACACACTAGAGTTTCCAAATATTATTTAGAGATACAGGATAATCTTATCGGGCAGAGAAACGTAAATCTTCAGTTTACCAATAGAATGCTGGAAATTAGAATCACTATTAGAAGAGTTTGTTAACTGACAAAATCATCGGTTATTCAGGATATGATTCATCGGTATCATCTTATTCGTACACTTTTCTGAAGCTCTACGAAATTTGAAGGTATTCAGAATCTTTACAATCTATGACGATTAATCCGATTATCGAACAACTCCAGATGAATAGCTTCCAGAACCAATACTTACCAACTTGTCAATTCATTAACCTTTCAGGGTATTTACTCTTTAATACCAAATATTCTTATCCACAAATCATCATCTGAGTCATCACTGAATAGATCTTAAGGAGACAAGCAAATATTCTAATGGTCTTTATTTTATTTACATGTTTCAACTATACCATAAAATGCTGACGTACTTGATTTGTGGTTCATAATCCATAGGGATGATACATCATATAAGTTCATTCGAGTTTCCAAACTTATTTCGATCTCTTACTTAATCCTCAGTCATTGAGGTTACTTAATTCATTTAACATTCAAGTCCAATCCAGTTACTTCGGGATTTTCCAGAATAATTTAAACGTTCCTGAATTTCATATACATGTTGTACTTCCATTCCATTCAATTTGGTCTTCGTGGTTGATTTGTCGAACAAACGTCCAATTCTTAGTATTGAATACGATCTAGATCTTAGTTGAACTGAATACTTCCAAAATTTGTCATCGAGCCAAACTTGAGAAGACGAACACATGTTCCAGTAATATCTATGTCATTCAGGTATTGACATAGCTTTAGGGTTGATCTACTCACTTAAATTATTTTCCATTACCTTTAAAGGTAGTCCAATACCTATGCTTACTTGGATTCCTTAATTAATCCAAGACATTTACTTAGTTTAGACCATAGGGTATTTTGGTAATTTTGATGTTCAGTTTTATTCCATTCATTTCAGAGCTCGAGGATATTCAATCATTCCTGAGCTTGGTGATATTCTTGGGTCATTTCTATTACATGGGTATTTTGGTCATTTTACAGATCCATGATATTTCAATCTTTTTCCTCCATCCGGTCTTATTATTTAATTCCAATTTATTATCTATTCCAGTCCGTTCGAACAATTTTGATAAAAGAGCACCCTCCGATAAATTATTCTTCAGGTATTTACTCATAACTCAGATATTTTCGGGTCAAGTTCCTTCTCGGATTTTACAAACGGAATACTATGAATTTTTCTTTACAAAGAAAGAATATCAATAATTAAATTTGTACTTAATCGAGTTAAGTACAAATCCTCAAAGTACTTTCTCCTTCAGGGTCAACTCTGACTATTTTATCTCTCAAGGGTATTTTCGTAATTTCTTAATCAGATAATTTCGATATTAGCTCTTAACGAAAATTATAATAATAGAGATCCTATGATTAATTGCTTCCTCGAACATTCTTTGATCTTGAAATGATTCCTTAAAAGACTTCTAGTATCTAGCATAAACCTTCTTAGGGTTAAAAACCGGTTATCCATAATTTCCAAGTAAAACTAACATTTCTTATGTACATCAATAGTTTTAGTAGATCAATAATTCTTTTCAGATTTATTAATCCACTTCCAGAGACAATTCTTGTCATTTTCCAACTTAAGGGTATTTTTGTAATTTTACCCTACCGGAGTATTATCATAATTTCCCATCCAAGTACCTTTAACATTTAACATTTGATGAAATAAACTATAAGTTACAAACCCATGTTGATTTCTTTATCACTAAGCACAGAACTTGTAATTTAATTTTAACAATCCCTCAAATTCTTATAAAAATCATCTGAACCATAATCAATTACTGAACCCTTTTACCGTATTCAGATCGAGTGTATAAACTAATTAACTACACAAATGAGACCAACATTATCTTAATCATGCATTTATCAATATTCACATGTTTCATAAAGCATAAAGAGATAGTAAAGTATTACCTCGATTTTCGTGCAATACTGATCGACCATAAAAATTCCATTCGAACGCCTTTGATCTTCAATTCAACTTCCAATAATTCATCAGATACATAACAACATAAATTATATCAGAAACGGAGCTTAATTGCGATAAATGGATCGAATTGGTTGATAAATCAGTGAAAGACGGCTTACTGGATTCGAATTTGGCGAAACGGACTTCGGATTCGGATTCAGGACGTCGAAAGCATAAAATATGACTTTTCGGAAATTTGGAATTTTCGGTCAAAATAAAAGTCAACGGGTTTGACCAGAAATTTCGAGGCCTTCGGATTCGAATTTCGAAAAACGGACAGCGGAATCGGATTTGGAACGTCGAAAAATGTCAGGATAGGTATATTCGGTCGAAGTCAAAGGTCGTTTAATGCCCGGTCAAAGCCGGACAAAGTTTTGGTCAACAGTGGTCAACGTCGGTCAACGGGTCAACGGTCAACGGGTCAATGGGTCGGGTCGGGTCGGGTCAACGGGTCGGGTCGGGTTATGACCGGTCGAACCGGTCAACTATGCACCAAAACCGGTCAAACCGATCATTTTTTCTTCCCCACGCGCAGTGGCGGCGCGTGAACAGTGATAAATTCCCGAAAAAATTTCTAAAAATTATTTTGAGCGATTTTGAGATACTTACAAAGCTCGGTTCATAATTTTGAACGGCGGAGAGCTTGATTTCAACAAATCAAAAACTTTGACCGCTTCACCTCCTCACGTGCCGCCGTCGACGGAGACCAAGGATGACACCGGCAAACTCGGAACGATGCAACGAATGCGATGGTACGGAAGGTGTCGTAAACGGATGACCCGATCGTCGTGAATCGATGAAAAACCAACTAAAACTGAGTTATTACCGACGATATTTCCGACTGAAATTCATGACGAACGGCGATGATTCACGACGAAAGGTTTGAGGGGTTTTGTTCCTCGATTGACAACGAACACGATGGTGATTTCGGCTCGTCGTTTGGAAGTCGGACGGCAAATTTATAATTGAACATATTAAAAAAATGGTTAAATCATGGGTTTAGCCACTGAATTTTCTATACTTCTTAAAATGGTATGCCAACTTTGAAATCTTGTAATTTAACCCACTGTTTCTTTCAAAACATCAAATTAAATCCACCACATTATAATTTCTTAATTTTAGCCCATAAATTGGGGTGTTACATCACCTATGATGCAGTCGTTGATGTTCGAATCCAGGACCTCTAAAAATAACAATCATTCTTTTAATTATTAAAATAATTAAGTTCGTGTTATATGATGTATTGTTTATCTTTGTTGTTTATAGTTATAATCTTTAGCGTTTTGTTGAGAGTATCTTAGTTAAATCTCCGTCTTCGTGCATGAATGGTGTGGTGTTGTCTATGAATGTTTTTGTATTATGAGATGAAACTTTTAAAATTTTAGAAGAAAAAAATTATAAAAATTTAAAATAAAAATAGATTATCAAAAAAAAATTTATCTCTAGTTTTTAATAACAAAACACAACGAGGATTCGAAATTTTAAAATATTAAAATTTAAACTCTTAAAATTTTCAAAAATTTTATAAATTTTTTAAAAAGTTGGATTAAACTTTGAAATTTTGAATGTTCTTATAAATTTTAAGAAATTCTCATCCTCTTAAAATTTCAAATTTTCAGTAAACCTTAATTTTTTTTCTAAAAAATGTAAATTGAAACCTTTTAATTTTTTTAAAAAATTTTAATTTAATCCTCTAAACTTTTTAAAATTTTAAATTGATCCTCAAATTCTATCATTAAATTTTGGTTGTCGTGGAGGAAAAAACGAGAAAAAGTATGCTAAAATAAAAATGACCTCATGATTAGATGAGTACCTGTTTAATTTAACCCAAATAGTAATACAATACCTTATAAAAAAAAATACTAGGATGAATATATTGCCACGTTACTCTGGGGACACTTCCAGAAGAAAAAGATAGAAAGGAGACACCATCATATAACCCAAACTAAAATCTCAGGGATTAGAGAAGAGAGAAGAGCCAAAATGTCGTCGTTTTTGAAGTCATTCCTGGATCCGAAGAAGAATCGTTTGGCGGCCATGCACATGAACTCCGTTTCCAAACGCCTCCGCAGATACGGTACGGTTGTTCCCCTGATTTCTTATTTAGTTAGTTTTTTTTTCCAATTAATTTTGTTTGGACGATTTGTTTAGGCCTTCGCTACGACGATCTATACGATCCTTTATACGATCTGGATGTGAAGGAGGCGTTGAACCGGCTGCCCCGTGAGATCGTCGATGCCCGTAACCAACGCCTTAAGCGTGCTTTGGATCTCTCCCTCAAGCACGAGTATCTCCCTGAAGATCTTCAGGTTTTTTTTCTCTTCTTTGTTTTAGCTTTGTGTTAAGAACTTTGAGTGCTTATTTTCATAGATTTTCTTATTTGTTTGTTTTTTGTTAGTAATTCAAACGATATACATCGAACTATAATAAAATATGTTAGGAAAATATACTTGCTACAAAATAAAATATATATTTATATATTGAGAAAAATAATTCAAACATATACATCAAACTATAATTATGTCGTGGAAGAATGACTATCTTCGAAATAAAATCGTATATGGTGTAATTGTTGAAATGAATGCCATCTCTAATGTCAACATTACTCTTTAATATTCGTGTAAACTGAGAGAATATTATACCATTTGTTTGAAGTGAATTCAACCTCTATTTTTAGGCTGAAACTGAGGGTAAAAGGGTTAAAAATGTAATACCAATTATAAAATAATAATTGTCATAAATATTATTTAATGATTATAAAATGGATTCTCTCTTAGAGGTGGCAAACGGGTCATACAGATCGGGTTTGAGTCGGATCATTTCGGGTTTAGATTATGTTTGGTTTAATTTTATTCGGGCCGGATCGAATTTGGTTTGGATTTAGTTCTGGTGTATGGTAAATCGGGTCGGGTAGCGGGTCGGGACAATTTTTGGGTCAAGTGACTATTAGATCAGTTGTTTTTCGGTTTGGATCAATATCGGATTGGTTGATTGTTTGGTCAGGTTAATACTAAACTGGTTAGATTTCGGGTCAAGTCAATATCGGATCGGTTGATTTTCGATTTAGATCAAACTTTGGATCAGGTAAATTCAAATTGATTTGGTTATGAGTCTAATCAAGTATATATAGAATTATTAATATATTATTGTAAAAATATGTCTCCTTGTTTGTTAATCAAATCATTTAGGCTTAATTCGCTTATAAGTCTAATCAAGTATATATATATATATATATATATATATATATATATATATTTAAAAACGAATTGATTGAGGGTTTTTAAAATATTTTTTTTTATATTTTTATCAATAATATATTTTAGGGTATAGTATACAAATGCTTCTCTGACTATTGAGTGTTTCTTTGTTGAGTTTTTTTACTATCAAAATTTACAAATGTCTATTGACTATAGGATGTAGTTTTGTTAAGTCCCTTACTATTAAAATTTATAAAATGGTCATTCGACTATTCATTACGTTCTAAATTTATTATTTTCTATTAAAAAATTAACGGCAATCTAATCTGGATGTTAATTTGTTGTCTGAGATATGATAAAATCTGATTCTAGAATCTCAAACGACTATCAAATTTCAGACAACATATTAACATCTAGCTCAAATTGTCGTTAATTTTTTATCGAAAAAGATGAATTTAGAACATGATGAATAGTTGGGTGACCATTTTTTAACTTTTAGTAGTTGAAGGATTTAACATCTAGTTCAAATTGCCGTTATTTTTTTTATCAAAAAAGATGAATTTGGAACATAATGAATAGTTGGGTGACCATTTTGTAACTTTTAATAGTTGAAGGACTCAGCAAAGCAACATCCTATAGTCAGTTGACTATTTTGTGTAGCATTTAATAGTCGAGAGACTCAATAAAGTAGTATCCTATAATCAAAAGACCATTTGTATATTTCATCTTAAATTTTAAATAAAAATGAGCCAAAGTTTGAAAGAGAGGGAGCAGATATTTTGTAACAACTAGTAAAGATGGAACAAAAATCCTCATAAAATAATGTTTTATCAGTAGAAGATCGTGTCTGAAAAGGAACACGCAAGAAGTGATTTGGTTCACTCACGCCAGACAATTCCTATTTAATGTGCCAACAAAATGTACCCTAAAGTAACGTTGTATTGGGCTATCATTAAGGTAGAATCATAAATGGAGGGTGCAGAGTGAGGAGCTAATATTAATATTGAAAATTAGTATCAATTAGATTTTTTTTTTTTTGACATCATGTGTTTGTAAACCCACTACATTTTGAAAGGAGAAAGACGCGTCGGAAAAAAAAAATAACATTAGCTAACCAGTGTTTGATATTTACATCCATCTTCGCTCAATGATTCTACTTTGAGGTCTCATAAAGTCATAACTGATTGGATTTTTCTTCTATTTTTTCCCCAGAAAATGCAGACACCATTTAGGAGCTATCTTCAAGATATGCTTGCTCTCGTAAGTTCTCCAATGCTATTCTCTGTTGATTATCTTACTGGTTTACGTTTCCTTTTGTCTGTTCATTTTTTGTTTCGGCCTTTGCTTAATTATTCCATGGAATCAGACATGTATGTGTTCGACAGTGTGACGACTTATTTCGATTACTTCGGCATCAATACTCTCTGTGCAAAACTGCAGAAAGAGTGTAGAAATTGTGTTTGTTAAGATTGTTTTGTTCTGGGTTTCTTTGTAGGTGAAGGAGAGAGCAGAGCGTGAAGCATTGGGAGCTTTGCCTCTTGTATGAGCGAACCATTCCTTGAGGTTTTTAATGTCTCTCTCTTTTAGCTAATGTTGTTCATATTTGCCCTCAAATGATTTGCATGTTGTATCATTGTAACGTAAGCACGATAATAACGAATATAAAATAAAGTAAAATAAAGAATACTAAGATTTAACGTTGAAAATGTACAACACCAACATTATATTATTTATATCATATGCTATCTTAGCTTAAGTGGACATGAATTTTGCCTTTACCACTTGCATTGTTGCAGATTGCAGTGGTTTGCGTTCATGTTTGAATAGAATAAGTAGTGTGGTTTTGTCTATAAATTTAGATGTTTTATAAGATTATAAATATTTTAGATAATGTTTAAAAATACAAAAAACATTTAACGGTAGAATTTTATATATACGAAAACATTATATTTTAGATGCTTTATAACATGTTTTCTCTCTTTGTAATTCAATCCCTCAATTTTGTATTTTATTCAATTTCGGTGTTCAATTACGGTGTTCAATCCTCCTGAATCTTTTTTCCTTCCCTAGAGAATTCAGATCATATCTTTGCTTAATCAAGGTGTTTCTACCTAACTACACCCTCTTCTATCCATGGTGACATCAACTAGATATCAAAAGTAAACAGGAGGATTTCCGGGCGGAACTCACAGCAAAACTGATTTTATCTATGTAAGAGGGCAGGCATAGAGCAAAAAATTAAATAGTTCACAACATGATTAAACAAACTGACCGAGCAGAAAAAAGATGGACTTGTCAAAAGTTACTTTCAAGTGAAGGAATTATTACCATGTCGTTTGAAGTCTGAAGATTGCAGCTTATTAGATAGATCGTTTTACTCAGACATCCCGGAAGGTTGATGTAGCCATAAACAAACCTGGAGTTCCTTGTATGCTTCTTTTCAACAATCTTCGGATCAATCGAAATATGGAACATTTCAAAAGTTATTTATGCACATGAAACTCCAGAAAGATGATTTTCTCCCTTGGCTTTTCCATTTACAAGTATATCATAAGTCGTGTCGTCGGGTAAAAGACCTCTATCGAGCATTTCATTATGCAATCTTGAAGCCTCTTCGAGATTCCCTTCTCGAAAGTGTCCAGCAATCAAAGCATTATATATAAGAACGTTAGAAGTAAGGCCCTGTCGATCCATCTCTTTCAAAATCTTGTGAGCATTCTGGAGCTGCCCTTTCTTGTAAAGACCATTTAAAAGAACAGTATAAGTGACTATATCAGGCACAATACCCTTGGTAAGCATCTCTGAGTAAAGACCAGAGGCAAGAAATAATTTACTCTCTCTCAAAAATCCATCAATTAGTGTAGTGTAAATATGTAGATCACAAGGAACTCCCTCACTTATCATTTCCTTGTGCAACTCATTAGCTGCTTCCATATTATTTACATTCCGAAACCCACTAACCATGCTGCTGTAAACGATTTCATTCGGAGATAACCCGACTTGCCGGAGTTAGGAAAAAAGCTCACAGCTCGGACCATGTCTCGCTTCTTGCAAAACCCGTCAATGAGGGCATTGAATGCAGTAACATCCAATTGAAGACCCTTACTTTTCATCTCGTAATGCATTTTTAATGCAAGATCCATGTTATCGCTTTTGCATAATCCATTCACCATGGATGTATATGTGATAACATTGGGAGAAATTCCACTTTCACACATTTCTCTATAAACTCTCAGGGCAGAGTCCATGGCGCACCCTCTTTGACAAATCCATTGATAATGCTATTGTATGTCATACATGAAGGGATAAAACCCTTTTGGACAAATATCTTCAACATATCCCTAGCCTCGCATGTACAACCGACTTTGCTCAAACCGTTGACGATTATGTTGAATGTGTAGTCCGAAAGGGCAATATGCACACCCACCATTTCATAAAACACGTCTAAGGCCCGTTCAGCGTCGCCTTTACTGAAATGCACATCAATCAACATTGAATATGTGATGGCATTAGGTTTAAAGCCCCGTTCAATCATCTCCGAAAATGTAGTATGCGCCATATCCATATTCTGCACTTTACAGTAGGCGAGTATCACGTTATTATTCATAACATTACTCGGAACAAGGCCATTAGTCACCATTCTCTGCCATAAACCGCAAGCTTCTTTCACTTTACCATCCTTAGAGAAATGGTATAAGAAAATATTATATGTATAAACAGTGGCAATGCCGGACTCAACTGCCTCGTCGAACAAGCTAGACGCCTCATTTAGCGAACGGGCTTCTAAGAATCCGCGAATCAAGGAATTCACATTGAAACCAGTAGGTTGTAAACCCATGGTTTTCATTTCTTCATAAAGCTCATATGCCTTTTCAACAGTCCTATTCCGACAACACCATTCAATCAAAACTGTATAGGTAACCTTGTTAGGAGCAACCCCATCCTCCTTAATCTTATTGAACAAATCCAAAGCCCCATTGATATCACCTTGCTTGCAATATCCCTTCATTAAACTAGTCGCAACCACCACATTCAATGGCTTCCCAGAACTCAACATCTCATCCTTGAGCCTCAACGCCTCCGCCAAATTTCCCTGTTTTACGAAAGCCCCAATAACAGTCGTGAACGTACCCTCAGAAGGAACCCTTCCCCTTGCCTGCATTTCTCTCAATAACTCTCCAGCCATGTTCAAATCGGGTTTCCGAAAAGCAGCAAGAATAGCAATACTATAAACCCCTGCATCAAGATCTATCCCTTGAGCTTTCGCCTCCCTAAAGAACTCCTCAGCTTCCCTTCTTTCAAAAAAGCACGCATCATCGCATATACCGTAATCGAATCGCCTCTAGCTCCGATCGAAACCATCTTACCATACAACTCCCTAGTTTTATCCATCAAATTCCTCCTAAACAATAATGTTAAAAGACTATTCATAAAAGTAACCAAGGAACCACATCACGTTCAAGCATTCCATTAAAACAATCCACCACATCATCAATCCTATTGACTCTAACATAACTGTTCAACAAGTAATTAAACGCTCTCGAATTCAACTCGAAATCCAATCTTTTCGAGGTATCAACCAAATGATCTAAGACAACAGAAGGGGCAGGACCTTAATGGTCAGAACCGAAATTATCGTTAAGCAAATACTTAACTTGTTTTTGGGTCTGTGAAGAACCAACCAAAATGTGAAGCAGAACACAAACGACATCAGTGCTTTCCACAAACCCTCCTTTCTTTTCGACGGAACGGAAGTACTTCAGAGCCGATAAGGGGTCGTTTTTGTGAGAGAGAAGAGCTTTTATCACATGGGTTTGGGTCAAGCTTGATGAATCTGAGGTAATTTTCTCAGTGCGAATCGGGGTTTGGGGCTGAGTGCAGATGCATTTGGGGATTGGTAAACGACGGAGAAAGAAAGGTGGAATGGATGAAGGATTTTTTAATGGAGACTTCATTTTGCTCACCACACAATCGAACCAGAGCTTGATGAACAAACCCTGATTTGAAAGGAAAAGACAGAAAAAGGCAAAAAGGCATTATAGGTCTCTATACTTTTGAAATAAACTAATTTGATCATTGTATTATTTTTTTCTTTCAATGCGGCCCTCTGATTCATAAAATAAACTCAATGTAGCTCTTGAACCAATTTTTTTCATCGTTGACCGTTATAGTGTTGATACGACAGTTCATCGTGTTAACATGACAGCCTATAGTGTTGATATGTTAGTCTAGGGTGGCAGGTTAACGTGACAGATGACATTGTAGATTAGTGTTGAACTGACACGCTAGTACTGAAACAGTCGACGATTAAAAACATTAGACAAAGGACCACATTGGGTTTGTGTTTTGAGTTGAAGGGTCACATTGAGAAAAAATAATAATATGAAGACCATATTAATTTTTTTTCAAAAGTATAAGAAACTCTTATGCCTTTTTACCAAAAACACAGCATATATTAGCTTTTTCTGATTGAAATATGCGAAAGCTTCCTGTTTATTTTAAAATTTACAATTTAAGCTCTTATTTTATTAAAAGAAAAGGCATAATAAAAGGTTTACCTCCCAACGTTTGCGTAAATAGTCACTTTATGTTCTATCATTTTCTTTTTGGAATATTTACCAGCCCGTTAAGTCTAAATATCCATTAGTTGGATATCCGTAAAACTCAAATACTCGTATTTTCAGATTATGGATATCCAGTTTATATATTATCGCATAAAAAAACACATAATATATATATATATATATATATATATATATATATATATATATAAAGTTTATTTCAAAAATAAAACATTAAAAACATTAATATTAATTGTGATCTTTTTCTTCAAATCTCGTATTAACAAATTAATAAAGAACATAAAAATATATAATACAAGAATATAAAGAATTTAGAGATTTAAATTTAATTTTAAGGTAAAATATTAAAGACCCTAAAATAAAAGTATAATTTAAAACTAATATATAAATATACTATCGGGTCAAGTATTGTAAAAAAATATTTGATCCAACTACCCGAGAAAAATCACGGGTTGAGTACCTAACCCGGTCCAATATTTTTTTCAGAGAATTATCCGATTTTTTCAAATTTTGGTCGAGTAATTTTAAACAACCATATATACAACTACATCAGTCATCCTTGACATTTGTAAGCTACAGTTACTCTTTAATTGAGTATATCTTCAAATGCAACTTACACACATATCAGTCTTCAATTTTCTAGTCCTTGAGGCATCAAAGCATACATAAATAGCTCTAAATTTACTCAAAATTGAAGTAAATATATAATGGACCTCAAGTGATTTTAATCTATAATCCAATGTATTAGTAATTCAACTTGGGTCTAATCCAATGCATTGTCTTCTTCAACCACACACATCTATGCTCTTACTTAGAACTCAATTTACTCCGATAGTCGAGACGAATTATTTCATTTGTCGAATTCTGAAAACATAATAATCCTATTACGAATTATTCGCTCGGAATAATTCCCTAGACTACTGAGATAGTTAGATTACAGTGTTGGATAAAATTCGCAGACCCCGTGTTAGCAAAACGAGTTTCCGACATACAACAGCAGACAAGACAAAGATGTCCGAGTTCGGTCGAAGTAGGATCATTGTCTCGGTTCCCATGGTCTTATCCTTCCCCATTCTCAGTTGAATTCATCTCTTTTAATGCATCCTCAGCTTTTATTTTCTGTGGGACGTAATCTGGAAACACATCGAGTTTCCATCAAATGAAAAACTTGGAATTCCGAGCAAGTTTTACGAGATAGAACACAAATTAGAAAGGTGCCTATTAGTTCAAAAGCTTTAGTTTTGTTTTTTTTTTTGGTTCCTTTTTCCAGTTCTACGACTCTAACTTGGTATCAATCGCATACTCAGCATCGTAACGAGATCATAATTAGGAATACCTGATAGGAAGTCGTATCTCTTCCGTTCATGAACAACTGATGCTGCAAAGAAATTAGGAGCTCAAGAACCTCATTAACATGTACAACAAAAGCACAAGCAATGGAAGGAGATTATTTAGTGTGAGATAGAACCAAAAACTTTCGGTTTCAATGGCACAACAGCATCATTCCCAGTGGATCCCGGTCCAGACACGCAAGGTGTCGGTTTTGATGCAATATAGGAATCACTATCGACGTATAGACTATAGCTCTAACCCACTTAAACAGAACTTAAACTAAAAATTTTATAAGTTCATCTACGGCAGATTTCTTCCTACCAATCAAACCATGAAAACAGACTGGAACTAATCATACTACAGATATCAATGTTTAAGAACATATGACAGATCTAACAAAACCACTTGGAGATAAAATCATTTTGAACCCCAATTTTAACTGGAAATGCATCACATGCCTCGATCCTCGCAATAATATTTAGTGTTGTTCAGCCATGGCTCATGCTAATATTCTACATTTTAAAGACATTACAGTAATGCCGGATACGACTGGCAAAGAAAATAATACATACAAGGAGGATTGAACATACCTAGGTGTTTGTAGCTAAGCGATTTCTTTCGATCCTTCACCGAGCATTTGTATCCGTCTTCGCTAAATTTTTCAAGGAACATTTCCTGCAAAGATCATGAATACATTTAGAAATTAATACAAGATTCAAAGGCAGATAACAAAGCAAAGTGATAATTACTATTGGATCATCAAACAGTGCTCAAACAATTTTCCACACAGAAGAAACAAGATACACACAAAAGAACTAAGTATCTTGCACAAAAGGTTGAAAAAAACAATTTTTTCCAGAATTAAGAGCAACAATTTGAAAATCCCAACTTTCCAATACATTTTCAGTCAACAATGCATTCAAACAAACATCGACCCCATAAATGACAGAAAAGCATAATCTTTATCAAGCTTTAACCTTGGAGAATAAACACATTGAAAACCCTAAAACATTCAAGAAAATAACCCAAGATAAAAAAAAGGGGGGGGAATACCGAGGCTTTGTTAACAAGGAAAACAACATCTTGAGAAATAGCCATGCTGGAATCTTCAGTCTTGATTATCCTCTTGATTCTCTGCATTGGAAACTTGCACACGGTTACTTCTTCTCCTCCTCCATTTTCTTCTATTTTTTCCTTTGGTTTCCTCTTGTTGTTGGGTTTAACATTCTTGTGGGTCTTGTTCTCGTTCGATGATGGGTCGGGAATAACCTGGGACTTGACCGGAGTTCCATTGCCGCTCTTCTTTCTACTTTTGTCTGGCTTTGGCTTTGATTTGTTGGCTTTTGGGGATATACTTGCTTTCTTCTCTGGTTTTTTAATGGGTTTCTTTGTCTCTTTGGGAGCGGTTTTGTTGCTCTTCTCCTTCTTCTTCGAGTTCTCTTGTTTGGGTTTCTTGGAAGAGGAGGCCATGGCGCTCTCTCTCTCTTTCTTCTCACAGAATATGGAAAATCTCAACTACAAACTCCACAGCTGAGAATTGAGATGTCATCTCAGGGCCTTCATGTGGAATGGGCTCTTTCATTTTATCTTTAGATGGCCTAGCACGAATATAATCTAGGTTAAACTACGTATTTAGTCAATCACATATTCATGTGATTTCATTTTGGCCACCTAATTATTGTTATACCCAATGCTACCCATATGATTATGGCTGCATTCTATTATTACTAACTCATCAAGTAGTTCGAATACAGGGAGTAAAACTTCCTTTCTTTGCAATTCAGTTCAGTTAGAAACTCTCAATGATGTAGCTCTGGTTTAAACCCGGTTTCGGACAATCCCAATGCAACCCATATGATTATGGCTGCATTCTTTTATTAGTAACTCATCAAGTAGTTCGAACACAGGGAGTAACTTCCTTTCTTTGTAATTCAGTTCAGTTAGAAACTCTCAATAATGTAGCTCTGGTTTAACCCGTTTTCGGACAATCCTGACATTGCCGTGCTTACAAAGTCGGATTAACAGCTCGTTGGATGTTGCATAATGCAGGAACAGCCCCCTCTCCAGCATCAGACCCAACAAGGTTCAAGTAAACACGAGCATCTGAAGCGCCTCTTCGAACCTACCTTCTCTGCATAATCCCCCAAAGTAACAAAATCTGCTTGGCATTCATATTCCTTCATCTCCTCAAGCAACGCCATCGCCTCATCAATTCGACCTTCCCTACAAAGGCAATTAATCAATGTAGTATAATACAGGACATTTTCATCTCCTTTTCGACCTCTAACGCGGATTCGAGATCTCCATTACTACAATGACGTTCAACTAAGATGTTAAAAATGCACGTGTTTGTTCTCTCAACCTGAGAGATCTCTTGGAGTTCAATAGAAAGTTTTGATTCAATCAAGAGGTTAAGACAAGTACTAATAGCTTTCAGCAAGGGCTTTTCACGAACAATGGGCCCAATTGCATCGAACATCTCAAGCACCCTATCATGTAAAGAAAACTTGGAAAAATGCTTCATGAGATTGAGGAATATACCTTCATGAAATCTACAAGTTTCATAAGTCATTTGACCAAGTAACGAGCCAATGGCCTGGATTGCTCAAGCTTGTGAAGGATGGCTGTAGCACTGCTTATGGAAAGAAACTCTCACTGGATTCATCATCCGAAATCATTAGAAAATGATCGACCAAGATTCAATGCAGCATAAAAACACAACCTTTTCGAGGTTTCATCCCGTTTTACACATTACAACGAAAACCGCTGGCATCGGAAGTCCCACATATTTAGCTGCAATACAGTTGAAAAGATTAAACAAAAACCCAAAAGGTCATTTGACCAAGTAAACATAGACATAAATCAACAATCAAGCACAATTAATCCATTATAAGCCAAAAACTTGCAGCATTTACAAGTAGAAATGAAGATTTCTATATGACTAAATAGTGATTAAAGAACACAATGATTTCTGCATAAATGAACACTCTAACAGATTAAAGAAGTCATAAACGTAGTTATAAAGTAAATTAATGAACATCCAATTCCCATTATATCTGAGATGAAACGAGATTGACCTAGCTGAAGTTGGTAACCTAATTGGTGATGCGAAGTCTCTGGTGCAGCACTTCTCTTCTTGCTCGTTCACCTTCATCAGAAGACAAGGAAATCGGGCGGCGTATGCAATGGCTTTAGATACTCAACGGACCGGGTAGAAGACACACCGATTATGGCCCTCCAAGCTGCAAACAGTGACAGAAGATTCACAGATCCTCCGTGAGACGAGATCAATCCCTCTAGTTTTTTCAGGAGTTTTAAGTATTTCATCCGCTAGAAACCCCTGCTGCTCCATTCATCAGCTGTTTTTAACAAGTGCAAGGATTTGAGATGCTGAAGAATCTTTGCCAATTGATTTTCCATTTCTTCTTTGCAATGTTTGTGCTAATTTTGTTTGACATTTGTTGCTGTTAGGTGAGTTCTGGTCCTTCAGCTTTTCTCCGAGTCTTTTCCCTTATAAACGCTGCTTTGTAGGGGCTCATCGTTAATTTTTAGAATAAAAGAATACATATGTTTTAGGATAAATATAAACAAAGGGTTACTTTATTGAATTCATCGATTATTTTCTCTAACTATTAAAAATTATAAAATAATAATTTGACTATTTATACATATTTTCAACTTGTATGACATGAATATTAACATGTTGACTGAGATATAATAAAATTATATTTTAATAATGTTCATTGAAACCGTGATTTTCAAGCATTGACTTGACAACATAATATTTCATGTACTAACTCAACATAATGGAAACGAAGAGTCAATCCACAAAATACAATTCAAATGATTCCCTACTCAAATTTTATCATAATCCAAAATATAAGTTTGTTTTCACCTTATACCCCTGGCCTGCATTACATGCTCCTTCAATTCCAACATTAAACAAAACTTGTAAGAAAGTAGACAACCAACAGATCCAGAGTTCCAAAGGAACAATTTCCTGATTATTTACATAGTTTGATTTCCATTTACAATTGACATACGTGCCATACTATGCTATGCCGATCAAATTATTACATATGAACAAGGAAAAAAGTAACATATTTATATCTATAACTATCAAGTTCGGGCCCAAAGGGGCATCCATGGTTTCCAGATGCTAACTCTAACCTAAATCACAATCAAAATACAAGGGCCATGGGAGGGACAGACCTTTTCATATTTTTACAAACCGAACATCATTCTGACCAAAAGCGGTTCCACAGCCGGGGCACTTACGGTGCCGTAGCTCTAAATTCCTTTGTATGCATGGATTGCAAAATAGGTGATAACATTTCACAATTACGACCTGCCCGATATGAAAAATAACACCACACCCATCAGTGCAATCTGAAAGGTCAAGGAAACAAACATATACAAGTAACAAATTATGCCAGCATAACACACTCACCTCCTTCGGCCGATCGAAACATACACCACATTTGAGAATATTCTTGCAATTCTTGATCTCATCCTGAAGCTTCTGTAATGCAGTCTCTCCAGTCTCAGAACTCAACTCGGCAACCTGACTATTCAATTCATTAAGCTCTTCCTCAAGCTTCTTCCTCTGGCTTCTGGATTTAGAAGGAAAAAAAAACCATTTCAACAGAGAGAGTTAATTTGAAGATCACCTAAATAATTTAATTAAAATATGAAAAGAAAATGGGTATGTATTCTGCAATGAAACATGTCTGAAGTCCTGAGGGACAAATTACAACCCGGGGAAAGCCTAAGGTGAAACGTGCCAGCAAGAGTATAGGTTAAAGCATTGTTATTGTAGCAATTGTTGACCATTATGACATGTCTAACACTCTTGATGGCTATAACCTCAAAGGACCCCCAAAAAACATGAAAAAAGTTATCCATGGCACACACATACTTGTACCAAGAACTCACAACTGAGTCCAAGTAATGTTACTAATGTAGGAGAAGTGCAATTCTTTTTGTAGCCGGATAACATACATATAACCTTTTCATCTTCTAATTCCACCAAAATATGATACAAATGGGCAAGGAAGAAATATAAGCCTGGGAAATCCACCAAATACGGAGTAAAGAAAACTCACTGTTCCTTATCCAACCTTGATTGGAACTCATCCACCTTTCGCTGGAGCTGCTCATAGTCCTTCTCACAAGATGCTGCAGAAGATTTAAGCCATTTGAACTCCTTGTCAGCATCTGCTAACTCCCACTTTGCAGTTTCAAGGCTAATCATAAAATGTCTATCCTCTTGTGTGAATTTAACAGCATCTGTCAAACAAACTTTCATCTGCAAGGTTTAAGTTACAGGTTGGCCAAGAAAAGCTATCGGTTGATAATTAAGTAAATAAATGAATGAACGAATAAAAACATAACACATTTAGAAGGTAAATTTTGTGGAATGAATTATAGTTAGCACGGTACTGACAAATTTTACCTGCTCCTCACCCTGTACAATCCTCATCTTTACAGATTCAATTGATGAATTGACCTGCTTAAGTTGCCTTGCTAATGTCTGCTTTTCAGAGAGCAAGGAACTATGTGTCTGACTTGTCTTTACGCTCTCAGAGACGAGCTGCATTTAATCCCGTCACATTACAAAAGTGGCCCAAGCATCAAGACCAGATAATAGAACTTAACTGACAATATACAGAATGGAAGAATACTGTCAAAATACAAAGCACGTAATATGCAACGGACCTTGATATTGTAGTCATCTCTCTCAGTCATCTGCTGCAACAGGTGCTGGTTCTGTGCCTGCATATCTTCATATGCCTGGCCAATGGTCTGGAAAAAAAATAAAAGAGAACTCTCAACCACATGCAGACAAAGAAAAGGAAGTAAACGGAAAATGTAGTACCCAGGGAAAGGCAGCTCAAGCAACTCAATTAATGTGAGATAAGGGCAACAGAAACCAAAACTGAATAAATACTTTTTTTTCCTAAGAAAAGAGAATCTCAGAGAAACCTCAATTTCGGAAATATATGTTTCTGACTCTCCATCTTTACTTTTAATAGCCTCCTTGAGCTCCAAAACATCCCTGTGATTTATTTTCGGATAAAATAGTTACATAATAATACTAAATGGAAATTTTGGGAAATGAAATGAAACAAATCATAAAAATAGAAAGGATTAAAGTAAAAATAAACCTCTAAACTACACCCCCTTTTTGCTTTAAGTCCTTAAACTATTATATGTAACCATTTTAAGTCCTGCTATTTTTTCAGTTAATTTTTTCCAGCCAACAAGATGTTGACATGTCACAAAAACTAGTTACTTGTTTTGACCAAAAATATAGTTTAGCGACTTAAAGCAAAAAAGGGGCATAGTTTAGGGGCTTACTTTGACCAAAAAATAGTTTAGGTACTTAAAGTAGTTACATATAATAGTTCAAGGATTTATTTTAACCAAAAAATAGTTTAGGGACTTAAAGCAAATAAAGGGTATAGTTTAGGGGTTTATTTTTAGTTTAAGCCAAATAGAAACCATAAACTTCTATTCAAAAACTACAACTCTTACGCAAACACAAAAATTTTGCATTAAGAATTTCGATCATACTACATGTGTAGTTTGGTAACTCATAATAAGCATTTTACCCATAAAGCATCAATTGATTTAATGTTTAATTTTACATTAAGCTTGATTTGTTTCCTTTCTAAGGCTGATATACTTTTGTATAAATACCTAATTCTACATGTGACTAATAACTTCATTTCATCTCTTCTATCAACAACAATCACCTATACGGTGACATGAGGAAAATAATGGAATTTAGCAGTTTTCATGTGAAGTAAGAGCTTAAATAAATGCTCAAAGGACAATAAAGGCAAACTTGAGAATTCTGAAAAAGGCGCATTGGCTGTTTTAAAATAACCTAAATATCCTAAAGATCTTAATAAGTTACAATTAAACCCCTAAAATATAAAATAAAATTCCTATGTAATTTAATTCACAACTTGCATATTTGCATCCTCAATCAACCTCCTTTCAGTCAAATTGCTATGAGTATCATTGCAAACCAAGTAAAGTAACATCAATGAAATAACGTTCAGATACAAACCTCTCAGAAGTATCCAGTTTAGCTCTTAAGTCAGCTATTTCAGCTTCAGCAACAGAAAGCCTTTCTTGGCAAGCAGCCTCGGCCTCGTTAGCAGCTTTCACTCTTAGTTCTAGACTATGTTCATCCAAAGCATTTTTCAAGATTTCAGCTTGTGAATAAGCTTTATTTCTTGATTCTATTATTTCCGTCACATCTCTGAAATTTAAGTCAAGAACCTAAATTATTTATTAATAGAAAGAAACAATATCAAAATTCCCAGGTCAATCTAACAAGATAAAACAATTAAAGAACGGAACTTCAAACTCAGAATCGCTTACAGCTTCTTGCTTTTGTGTGCATGGAAATTGTGTGCATGGAAATCAGAAGCAACTGTAAGTTTTTATCTCACCAACAAGAAAAGAAAATATGTAAACATTGAACTTAAAATATTTTTCTATTTCAGTATCAACTTCTATAAAAATTAAAATTCTAGGTTTGTTTAATAACAGTTTAGCACAAAAAGTCAGTTGCTTCTAATTTAGGGAGCACTAATAATAGATTTGTTTCACATCAAGCACGAAGTACAAAAAAATGCACAAAGAGGAAGTCAGATGAAAATTTAACAGGGAGATCCACATCTTGTATGTAGAACTAAGGAAGTTATTTCTTATTTCATTGCATTTTCATGTTCTTACTCTGTGTGTCCCGATAAATTCAAAATTAAAATTCTAGGCTTGTTTAATAGCAGTTTCACACAAAAAGTCATTTGCTTCTTAATTTAGGAAGCACTAATTATAGATTTGTTTCACTTCAAGCATGAAGTACAAACAATGCACAATCCAAGGATTTACACACCAAAAAAGTCATATGAAGATTTAACAGAAAGATCCACATCATGTATATAGAACTAAGGAAGGTTTTTCTTATTTCATTGCATTTTCACTTTCTTACTTTGTGTCCCAATAAATTCTCAAATTAGCATACCTATTATCGTAGCCTTCTTGACCATACATATCCAAGAAGATTTGCAATTCCAATTTTTCCTTCTGCAATTTCTCAATCTGCATAAGTGAATATTATTCAATAATAAATATCTTATTCATCATAGAAAATAAAAAACTTATACATAACAAGCAAAGGTGGCTGGAATTTCTAGGGAAGTAGGATTCAAGACCAGATTCCAGCCCCAGCTGACGCATTTCCCTTTTCCCCAATATTGTAATGAGCAAAGAAGGGGGAACAAGAACTGGATCAAAAGAATAGGCATACCAAATCATTGAGAGACTTGATTTCCACAATCTGTTCAGCACACTCTTCTGCCAAGCACTTTTGTAGGTTTGTCTATTGGAAATTTTTAGATGAAGGCAAAAAGATTAGAGATTGAACAGATTTGATCAACCAATATGTTTAAAATATTGACAATTAGCAACTAAAAAGTTCCAAAACATTCAAATTTCATATTATAAAGATCTTTCTTCATTCTACACAAAAAGTTAAGAAATTTTGATCCATTTTGGGAAAAACCACAACCTTCTTCAAATCAGATGCTTAATAATAAAATGAAACACTAACAAAACAGGAAACTGACTTTTTTTGGATAAGTGGCACATAACATTGAAAGAATAAAAGGGAACATTAAATGGTGGTGCACAAATAACTTCCAAAACGATATTCTGTCCATATTGGAAACTTTCAAACTTTTATTCCCCGAAAAGAACTAATAAGGATAAGATAAAAACCTTATCACTTAGCAAAACTTTTAGTGTTTGGACTTCTTCAAGCAGAGAAATCGCTTCATGTGCAGTCTCCTTCCAGCGGTTCAACTGAGCTTCCATCATTCCCATTTCCTTGGACAGAGCTGATGCCATCACACGAATTTCTGCTTTAATATCATTTCTTCCTGAGAAAGGTAGCATTTAAATAAACCAAAAGATCCAAAATTTCCACCTTAAATTTATAACTTTAAAATGTACAACCCCAATTTACTATTTTACCTGCATCTTGGATAGCTTCTTCCATTTTAATTTCAAGATCATTTCTTTCTATGATACACTTCTGAAGCTGCTGATTTAGCTCTTCAATTCTAGAACCAGCATTATCAATTGCATTCCTAACAGAATCTGCTGACTCAACTTTCATATTTAGTTCTTTCTCCCTCCTCGTGACAAGTAACCTGTCAGTCTGAAACTATACTTTCAAGACAGCAAAAAGTTATCAAACAACAAAAGCATGTGAAAAAGGATACAAGCAGCTAAACCTGCAGAGCATCTGAGAGGGCTTTGTATTGTTCCATTTCAGCATTCCAATGCTGAAGCTGATCATTTAACAAAGTGTAAAGCCGAGAAGATTGTATGAATCTGTCATCCTTCAGTTCATTCTAAAAGAATAAAATTTTGTGAATTAAATTACTAGAACACGTAGTGTTACTCAAAACAACATTTTAACTAAAAAGAAAAACAACAAGATCAAAAGAGATACAGGATAGATGAAAGTTCAAATTCTAAAAATCAGGCGTTTTCAAGAAATTTATTTCTTTATCCCTTTTCATATCTCTTAGATGGCGAGTAAGGTGAGAAGATCTGTTGGAAAAAATTGCGTTACAATGATCATTTTCAATATTCCAGAGTGTCTTCATCATCATGGTCTTTGGTTATTATTCAATAAATATGGCGAGGTGGTTGATTCTTTCATCCCTAAAAAAAGAAGCAAGGGAGGAAGTAGGTTTGGCTTTGTCCGCTTCACCAGATTGGAGGATGCGAGGAAGGCTATCAACTGTGCTGATAGATCTTGGATTCAAGGTTTTAAAGTCAGGGTTTTCATGACGAGATTTCAACCTCGTGAAGAATTCTGGAGAAAGAAGTTTTCTGGTCCAAAACCAGCCGAGATCATGAGTAAAGTGGAGGATGATACTCATTTAGAGGCTCTCATTGTCGGTGTTGTTGACGAGGATAAGCTCTTAACTCTCAGAATTAGCTTGGTAGGTTGGTGCAGAAAAATTTTAAAAATGAAAGAGTTGGCTGCTCTTATGCACAAGGAATGCATATTAGGTCCGAAAATTATGAGGTTAAGTGGTTTAGCAATTTTAATCTTTTTTGAAGATGAAGAGAGTAGGGATTATGCTCTTAATAATCAGATTGGGGCGTTGAAAAACTACTTTGACAGTGGAAGTGTGGTCGGAAAATTTTCAGTGCAGTAGCCGTCGGGCATGGCTATCATGCAAAGGGATCCCACCGTTTGTGTGGAGTCTTTCCACCTTCAGAAACATTGCAGACAAATGGGGAAATCTTATCTCCATTGAGGAAGGGACCTTAAATCCCGGCTCGTTTGATAGGGCATTGTTTCAGATAACTACGAACTGTCAAGCTCGTGTCGAAGACTATTTAGATTTGAAAGTCGGGGATCGGGTCTATATAGTATATGTTTCTGAGTTTGAACCTTGTTTCAGCCCAGAATCTGTCTAGGTAGATTCGTCCTTGATGGAAAAGGTAGTTGCCTACTCGTTATCCACGGTGGGGGAACTCGTTGGTGACTCGCCAGTAAAGCCTGTCGAGATGGAGGAATGTGTTGAGGAAGCAGGAAGAAGCGTGGACTCATCGGAGGAGAAAAATTCCGAGCGGTGTTCTGAGGAAGAAGACAGTCTATTATGTTGTATGGGGAACAGAACTAGAGGCAGCAACTTGTCAGGTGAGGATGAGGAGGAAAGGAACATAGGGGAGGAATTAATTATGGGACTGAGGAATATTGTTGATGGTCAGGGGATGGTAAAAACGAAAATTGAGGAAGTAGTGGAACACGAGGAAGTGCTGGATCACGCGCAGAGAGAGGCAAAAAATGAAAAAAGGAAAAGTTGTGAGACTGCACGTGCTTATGAGGGAATGAAGGATTATTTAATAGATTTCCCCATGTTGGATGGTCATGTAGAGTCAAAGGTGGTGTAGGATGTGATTAATGTGGGCCTTTCAAATAATTGTGCATTCAAAAGATCCAAGGGTGAGGCCAGGCAGGACCGGAAAGCAAAGGAGGGGAAAAACAATAATTACAGCTCTCTCCAGATATTTCAAGGAAAATATCCGGCTCCCCAATGAACGTCTAGAGACTGCCGCATCAAGATTAATCAGAGTAAGGTGCAACGTGAGGAAGATTTGTCTGAACTTGAAGGTAGAATCTTATATGATTCTGACTTTCAAGTAAGGTGGTAGAGACAAAAGAAGGAAGCGAAAGAATCCTTACAGATCGAGAAAGAATAGGATATAGAGTCTAAAGGCTCATGAGTGTTTTTGATTTCGGAACATTATAGCAGTGGAAGTATTGAAAGATGCAATATGTAGTGAATAGTTTTCGGGGACTCAAATATGATTTTTGATTTTGGAGTTGGAGGTTCGGATGATCTCCGTTGTCAAGTCGAGTAATTAGTGGCAGATTGGCAGATAGAGTTTTTTCGAAGTTTGTTTTGTTCAACTCTTACCGTGTGGAACCTCATGGCTTTAGTGTTTGAATTTGGCTTCTATGGTTTGTGTCAGCTGATTTATTTGGCTTCTATTATAGTTGTATTGTGTTGTGTTGTATATCGGGCCAAGTTCTGGTTAGTCATATTGGAGTTGTTGTAGCTGCGATGATTAGGCAGTTAGTGTTGTTGTTGAGGGTTGTATTCGGTTGTTTTTGGTTTTTTGTCTATGTTGGGGGTGGCTCTCTGTTTGTATCTTATGTAATTTCTTATGTTTAATGAAATCTTAAGGCACTCTTTTCCTCCTTCCTCTGATTAAGGAGCTTCTCTACAAGCTCCTTTAATCAAGAAGGGGGTTTTTAACGAGGCCTTCAATTCCTATAAAAAAAACTAAAAAGAAAAACAAATTTCAAAGGAAAAAAATTCAAGCAAACCTGAAGATCCTTAAGTTGTTTTGAATATATTAGGTACTGTTCCTGCACGTCTTGAAGTTCAGAAAGCCTATCTTCTGCCACTATCTGCAACACTTTTTTTGATAGGAATAAAAGGCCTCAAAAAACCCCCTTGGTGGTTAACGGAACTTAAAAATAGTTCCTTGATCCACACAAGGAGGAAAGGAGTGCCCTAGGATTCAATAAATTCAAATATAACAAAGTATACAACCCATCTCCCTCAAGAGAGATAAAACCAAAAAGAAACAGCCCTCAACAGAGCATAATTCACCCAATACCCGCCTTAGCTAGGACATCCGCCTCTATATTGGCTGTCCTACTAACCCACCTAATATAACCTTCAAAAACACTAAGCTTTTGAATAATGTCTTTAACTATTTGAACATAAACAACAGGACAAGAGACCACATCCTTAATCCAGTCAACTGCCACCTGACTATCACTCTCAATAATCAATCTATCTTTAACCCTATGACGAATAGATTCAAAAAAATCTAAACCCTTTAGGATAGCCTTCAATTCCATTAACGTTGGGGGCCCCGGACCAGCCGGCTCTTTGAAGGAACCAAGAATCGAACTAGACATGTCTTTCAAAATACCACCTAAGCCACTCCTCTTCCAATCACTCGAGGTAGCCGCATCCACATTAAGTTTAACGAAACCTTTTGGAGGTGGGGACCAAGGAAACACGGTTGAAACCCGATAAGAATGGGATGAGTAGGAATCCACTATGGACGGGTCAGCAATAATATCATCCTTGGAAATACTAACATGAGTTTCCTTAGCTAGAAACCATGAAGCAAGCCTGCACCTTGCAAGAAAGAAAATCTCTGCTCGATCAAGCTTCCCTCCTTCAAACACAATAAAATTCCTGGTCTTCCAAATTGTCCATAGAACAGCTCCAGGAATGAATGGCCAGATAAGAGAGTTGGACTTCAAGTCATTCCAAGCCAATAGGAATCTTTTAGCCTCTGTATGAAAAACCGATTGAAAATTCCAATATCCCAAGAATTTCATCCAAATTGGCCAAACAAACGAACATGAAAAAAATAAATGCGATGAAGACTCTTCTTCAAGATTACAGAAAGAACACAAAGTATCATTTATGCCCTGAACACCTCTCTTAACCAGAGCTGTCTTGACCGCCAACTTCTTTAATATAACTTGCCAAAGAAAAGTCTCAACTCTTGGAGGCAACAGACCCCTCCAAACATTAGACTTCCAAAATTTAGCTTCCTCTGAATCGGGAGAACCCGAATAAGACAGGTTGACACATGATTTCACTGTATAAACCCCTTCCCCATTCCCCTTCCAAAACAATCCATCAGTGGCATCAGCAGAAATAGAGAAATCAGAGATAACAACCATCAAATTTGCCCATTGCTCAAATTCCCAGTCATTCAACTCTCTCCTCAACTGAACGTTCCAAATCCAACCCCTTGAACTGAACTCCCCAAACTGAGTTAATCTTCCTTCTTTATTTACTGCAATAGAAAATATTCTAGGGAACAATACCATCAACGGATGATCCATAGTCCAATTGTCTTGCCAAAACCGAATGCTCCTCCCATTGCCAATTTTAAAGCTATATTTACCTCTGATACTACAGCCCAACGAATCAGCATTATAATGGTTTCTCACCATATCTCTCCACATCCAGGATAGTTTAGGAGAGACTTTACTGTCAAACTGCATCAAGGAAGGATCCAATTTATATTTGATGCAGAGCAATTCCCTCCAAACCGCCTCCCTCTCAATAGCAAACCTCCAAGCCCATTTTTCCAAGAGTGCCCTATTCACCACCTTTAAATTAGGAACCCCCAATCCTCCTTCAATTTTAGGTTTACAAACATCGGACCAGCTTACCCAATGTATCCTCTTTCTCCCATCACCACCTCCCCACAAAAAATTTGACATGATAGAATTTAGAGTCTTGTAAACTGATGCTGGAACCTTGAACATTGACAAAAAGTAAATAGGGAGTGAGCATAGAACTGATTTAATTAGAACTAGCCTGCCTGCCAGTGACAGAGAGGAGCCTTTCCATCCCGCCAGCCTCTTATTAAAGCTTTGAACCACTGGATCCCATAGAATGTTGGAGTTCCTATGTGGACCTAGAGGGAGTCCCAAATATTCTGAGGGAAAAGAGCCCACTGAACATCCAATCATAGATGCCCAACCCTTAATTTCCTCTTCCTTTAAGTTCACTCCAAATAATTTACACTTCTTTAAATTCAGCTGTAGACCAGAAATAATCTCAAACACCCGAAGAACCCTCTTTACATTCAAGATCTGTTTTTCCGACGCCCCACAGAACATAATAAGGTCGTCAGCAAATTGCAAATGGGTTAAATTAAAATTCCTCTCCTCCTTTCTAATGACCAGACCCGAAAAGAGCCCTCGTGAAACAGCCTTCGCTATTAATAGATTCAATAGTTCCCCAACTATATTGAACAACAATGGAGACAAGGAACAGCCCTGCCGAAGACCCCTCGCCATAGGAATTTCCTCAGTTGGGACTCCGTTCACCAAAACTGAAACAGTCGCTGAAGTGACACATTTCGAAATCCAACCTATCCATCTAGAACCAAAGCCCATTTCCTTCATTATTCTGAACAAAATAGGCCAGTCAAGAGTATCATATGCCTTCTTGAAATCAGCCTTAAAAACACACCCTTTTAAACCATTCTTCCTCCAAAAGTCAATCCCTTCATTTGCTATAAGAGAACAGTCCAGGATTTGCCGACCGGGGATAAAAGCGAATTGACTTGGACTGATCAAATCTGAAATGCAGCTCCTAAGTCTTCTTGACAGACATTTCGATAGTATCTTATACAATCCACCAACAAGGCTTATAGGTCTAAAATCGTCCAGTCCACCAATGTTAGAAATCTTAGGAATAAGAGTGATGAAAGTGTGATTTACACCATGTTCCCATTCCTTCCCCAAGTAAAAATCATGAAAGAATTTCATAATATCTACCTTTAGGACCTGCCAAAACCTCTTAAAAAATCCCAAATTAAAGCCATCAGGACCCGGAGCTTTGTTGCTGCCACAAGATTTCACCACTTCCCACACTTCCTCCTCAGAAAACTCCTGTTCTAAGAACTGCTTCTGCTCCAAAAAAATTCTGGGAAAATCCAGATTCAAATCATCAATCTCTAAAGTAGTTCGTTCATTATAGATCTTAAAAAAATACTCTTTAACTATGGCCTTAATTGCCGTTGGGTCTTCCACTGTTTCCCCTTTGAAGTTTAAAGCAAGTAGAGCATTCCTTTTATTCCTAATCGTAGCACAAGTGTGGAAGTATTTAGTATTGCGATCCCCATCAACAATCCATTTAGTTCTCGAGTACTGAAACCAGATCTGCTCCTGAATCCTGTAAAGCTTCCACAATTCTGCTCTTAGATTCTTCAATTCAACTAATACCTCACTGTCAACCGTTCCTTGCTTCTGTTGAATATCATCCTCTATCAACGAAATTTTCTTCTCTAACTCAGAAATCAAAGCACCTGGATATTTCACTCTGTTCCCAGACCACTTCTTAATTGCATGTTTGGTGTTCCTCATCAGACTAAAAACGCCTGCCTCGTTCTGACTATCCTTACCACTCTGAAAAGAAGAAACAACCAGATCCTCAAAACCCTCCTCATCCATCAAATAATTGAATAATCTAAAGGGTTTTCTGCCCCAGTCCACCCCTTTATTCTCCAGAACTATAGCATTATGATCTGACAAGGATCTTGGTAGAAGCGACTGCACAACGCCCGGAAACAGCTCTAGGAAACGACAATCAACCAAAAAACGGTCCAATCTAACAAAAGTGGGATTATCTTGGTTATTACACCAAGTGAACCTACCCCCGTTCAAAGGAAGATCAATCAAACCCGTATGGAGAATGAACTCATTAAAGATCTCCATTGAACTCCTACTTTGACCCCTTCCCAATTTCTCATCTTCTTGTAAATATACATTGAAATCCCCTCCGACACAAATGGGATAAGTCTGTCCACTAAGAAAACTGCTTAATTCTTCAAAAAAACCAGATTTCTCCTCCTCCACTGATGGACCGTAGACATTGATGAAACCACACCCGGAATCAATACTCCGAAATTTACCGAAAGTAGCAATGAATCTCCTGCTAACAAACTGATTCTCCAGCTCAAAAACATTATCATCCCAACAACACAACAGGCCCCCCGCTGATCCAACTGAAGGAGATTCCAAAATTCCTTTAAGTTTATTAATTCCACTCCTCCTAAAAAAAGACTTCCTAAATTTCTCAGTCTTAGTTTCTTGCAGCCAAAGAAAAGTAGGATTAAAGTTGGAGACTAAATTCTGAACAGCCCTCCTTTTCTCGTTTTTCCCCAAACCCCTAACATTCCATGAACATATTACTAGCTTTGTCATCATCAAAAAGGAAATAGGTGCAGACACACTCCTCAAACAACCAATCCTTTATTAACCCCATTTACGCCTTTCTCTAAAGCTATGATTTTATCCAAAAAGGCTTCTTTCCCTTCCTTAAAAGACACACCCAAAAGCTTGCTAACCTCCCAAGTTTCCACCGCTTCTTTCAACAGAATCGAAAAAGCTGAGGAGGATGCTGTATCAATGCTCACCTTGTCAAGGGCTTCACGATACAGGATCCTTTTAGTTCTTCTCTTCCTTCTAATCAGCAAACCAGATTTGGACTTATGGCCACCACCTTCTGAAAAGTAACCTTCAATCTCCCTTCCTACACTCCCACCCTCATATCCTTTGTCAAGATAAGGATCAAGACTCCCCTCGGCAATGTTCTCTGCTGATAAACAGAGCTGAATATTCGTACTGGAATCAACATCTAGCTCCCTCTGCTTAACTACGGCATCCCCTGTTTCAGACGAGATGTTCAACAAATCCCCATACCAGTATCTTCTTTCCCTCGACCTGTTGTAAACCCTTTTACAATTGCTCAGACTTCTAGTTTCCAGCACATTACTCTCTGTTGTAAACTCCCTTCTAGACCGAATTAACTGCCTCCCCCTAGAGTTGTTATTTAAAACCTGTTCCGATGGTCTTAAGTTTTCTTCTTCGGGGTCTATCTCCACACTGAATGGCTTCTCTACAATTGGACTCGATTCCATTCCCTTGGACACTCCCCTGCATTTTCCTGATAAATGGATGTTTTCAATAAATTCCCCAAACTTATTAATTGTATATGCTGGCCCAGAAATAAAACCCGAAAAGTATTTTGACCCAGTCTGCCCAGATTCTTCAGAATGGGCCTGAGATCCATCAGCCGAATAATTTTGACTTCTAATCCCCAAACCTGCATACTCACCAACTTTAAACTTTCCAACAGTCTGACTTTCTGACAGACCACATTTAATATCTTTCCTATCTAAGGAAAGTCTTGCTAGCTGTCTGTCCTCACTAGCTCCTCCAGAAACATGAAACACTCCCTGGTCAATCCAATTGTCCACTGACAAACGATTTTCCCCTGCTGCGCAAGTCTCACCTTCCCCATGAACTGACAACAATCTGTCTTCATCCTTCTCAGACATCCTCTCTTCAAAAAATATCTCACCGGAATCCTCCACCGGAAAATTACTGAAAAACGAACTAGAGTATTCACTTGCTGAACCAATCTTGATACTTACTTTGTATGATCTTCCATACGATCCAAGAGTAATAACCTCTGGAACATCAAAAGGACTTTCCACCTTCAATAAGATTCTTGCCATGGTGAGATCTTCTCTTTTCCTTGTACTATCATGGATATCTACCACACTGCCCCATCTACCAGCCAACTTCTCGAAGAAGGGTTCATTCCAACACAGCAAAGGAACACCTTTTAATTCCGCCATGCAGAAGGCCATTGGTTTCCCAGCTTCATTCAGTAGAGGTTCCACTCGCTCGAACCACTGTTTTAAAACTTCTTCCTTCTTACTCCATAACTCCAGCATCTCCTCATGAGATTTAAGAATTATCACACAAGAATTCCAGACATAGCCCCATCTCGCAATTTGAACATCGTGGCCTTCTTTTAATAATGCCGTCCGAATGAACTCCACTTGAAAGGAGTATTTGATAATCCCTGTTAACGACCTCTTCACCCAGTTGGCGCTGTCTGTTGGGATATGCATCTCAAATATATTTCCCTTGACATTCCTCCTCTGGATATCCTCAGACATTAGACCATTGTTCCCCCTTCTATTCCCATTAGACAACAGAGCATCCCTATAAGATCTATCATCCCTCCTACTTCTATTAATATTATCTCTATCTCTTGATTTTGAAGATTCTGCACTAATCTGACCATCATCATTGTTTGAAGAAGAAAGCAACACCCTTGACCTTGAACGTTCATCCTTAAATCTGGCAGGACTAACTGAGATCTTCCTTCCATCAATCACAATCCCGTTTAACTCCTCAACAGCCCTCTTCAGATCCTCCTCCCTCTTAAAATGAACAAAGGCAAAAGTAGAGAACCTGTATTTTGGATTTCTAGTCTGGCTGGGAATAAAAACTCTCGTAACAGGACCATGAACTAAGAATAATTCCCTAAGCGTACGATGGGAGACCCTTTTACTAAGATTATCGATAAACACCGACCAACACTCAACCGGAACTGACTTTCCTTTCAAATTCTCTCTCTCTACGTTTTTCTCTCTCTCACTCATCTTGACTTGATATTCTCCTCCGGAACTTCCTAAATTTACTTGATACAGTGCACCATCTGTATATGCATGTGTTTGTGTTGGAAGGAAGGGGCTTTACACCCTAAGCTTCTTGAAAATCTAACAATTTTATTTTCTACTTCTTTTACTTAATCCCCTCAATTTGCAGAAATACCGGCTGGGGAAGCAATCTTGCAAGGAATCAACTGATAATTCTAAGGATGGTCTATCTGCAACACTTGTTTAGTAACATATCCTACAAGATTGGTCAAACAAAGATAGAGAAGCAAAAAAGAAAAAGTTTACAGCTACGTAAACCAATACCTTTGTCTCCTCAATCAAATCCTTTATCTCCCGCAAACCCATTGTCTTGTCTGCAGGTTTTTCTGGTGACAAGCTGCCATTTGCTTCAACTGGAGTTGATGCATGCAACCCAGAGGCTATATTCTTCTGCATTTTCAGATCAACTAGTTTTCTTCTGCTTTCTTCAAGTTCGGCCATGATTTCTTCCAGTTCACCTTTCAGTATCAATAAATTATTACATACAATCATGAAAAGACCTAAAAAGAAAGGAACAGAAAATCGAGGCAGATTCTGCCGGTACCAAATTTGCTGTTGTGAATTTCATTTACATATGTTAGGTAGTTTTTGGATGCATCTTATATCTAATTAATAGTGTATAAAATACAAATATCTTCTAAAAGTTGAACTAGCAAATACCTTGAAGCCGTTTAATTTCAGATCGGTCAGTTGAATGGCTGCTTATATATGTTTGAATCCCATCCACATATTCTTTATGCTTCATATGTAGAGCGTTGATCATCTCATGCAAATTTTTAGCCTCTTCTTTCAGCATATCATCAATCTTTGTGAGCTGCACGAGAGTGTCTGAGAAATATGTAAAAAACAATATAAAATTGTGGAAAGAAGTACTGAATAATGGGAAAAAACTGAAAAAAAATCACGTAAAACATGCGGAATGAATAATTACTAAGCAACTGAAAAATCTAACCTTCAACAGATAATTTTCCATTCAAAGAAAAAGTCATGCTCTCAGTTTTCATCATCTCAGCAGAGATGCTATCCTCCAGAGATCTTATCAAATCCCTCGTGGATGAATGGCGAGCAGATAACACTTGTTCAACATAATTTGCAATCCCATCTTTGTCACTAATATCAATAAAATCTGTTTCTAGAAGCCTACAAAGAAACATCTCCTCTACAGGGCATGATGGTATAGAACCTAAAGAGAGCTCAAGTTAATTATTGAGAAAACTTGCACTTACATATTTTTATTATAAAAGATATAGGACCACCTCTCCTAACTCCCAAAAATACACAAAAAAAATTGTTCAACCAACAATTTAAGTTATGATCCAAACCTCTAGAATTGTCAGCATGGTCCAAGATTTGTAAGGCATTATGGCCTCCACCAGCTCGTATTCCAAGCAAGACCATATCATCAACCAACTATATAGCAGAGTAACAATAAACATAATAGAAAAAATCATGATAACAGCAAAAGATGCAGCAGTAAAAGAGTGCCATGAAAAAGTACCTGATTCCAAAGTTGATTCACAGTTATCAATATATCATCATAAGAGCTTTGATTGTCTTTTAGTTCTGTAATTTTGGTTTCGAGATCATGCAACTCATGTTTCTGAATATCTAACTGCTGGACAAGTTTTTGATTCTGGTCTTGCAGAACTGCTGCATCAACCTGGATAAAAAAAAGTCCACACCATTTCAAGTCAAATGGGTAAGAGAAATAAAATACAAATTCATGTACATACAGGGAAAAAATCAAAATTGATTTTTTGAATTTTGAATTTACTTAACATGTTCACCAGCCTTACAAATTGGGGTGCAATTAGAAATAACCTGATCGTAGCAAGATGAAAGTATGAAAAATCAAAGCATGGATAAAAAGTGAAAGGGAAATTCAATCAGGAGGCAGGTGACAGAACATCTCCACTCACCGAAAGGTATGCCTAATATTGAATTAGGTCGTGCAAAGGGCTTATCTTCTCAACCCAGAAAATGTGTAAACTGGTAGCGGACCAATGGTGCCCATGCATATGATTAGACGCTTAATGAACCAAATTAATGATAAGTCTAGGAACGGTTTGAATCAGAAAAGAGACCACCATATAAGTAAAAATTAGACCACTCACGTTGTGATCAAAATGGATTTGCATAACCCAGCAGACAACTTCAGAGAAAATGTTTTTTTTCTTCTAACCCTAGTAAAAACCCACAGGGGCAGGGGAATCGAGTATCACAGAAAACTACTTCTATCAACAATTATCAATTCAATTAAATCACGATTTCATAAATGATCCGCAAAAACTTAAATTTTCCTTCTATTCCAAAGGAGAGAGCATTTGAAGTCGAAAGTTTCGATGAGTAGTTAAACAAAATAGTAATAGCAGTAAAAAATTTAGGCTATAAACTGTTGAAAGAAATGTCCATTAATTACATATGAACATTTCTTACCGGCGGCGACCAGACAAAAACAAAATTCATTCCATAGCCAATTGTGATTTGAGAATAAATTACAGATGAAAGATTAAAAAAATAGCGAATATAAAAATGAACGCCCATTAATTTGAGTAGGAAATAAATCAAAATTTTCTATTAAAAAAGTATGAGAAAGAGATATTACGGATTTGACATGATTGGGAGAAGTGGAGGAATAACGAACCATGGCGGGAGAATCCAAGTGAGGTCTCTTCTTTTCTGGTTCTTCAGATTCAAAGCTTTCCATTTAATGATGCTACTATTAGTGATTTGCACACCCTCCTCCCCTCTCTTTCACCACTGATCACTCTTTCGCCACACCATCAAATCCTATCACCATGCGTTCCCAAAACCCTAAAAAATTCTTCTCGCTCCGAGAAAGAGAGAATCCAGGCATAAGCTTTCTACAGAGTAAAGAAGATAAACAGTTAATACGACGACGTTAACCGTTCGGCCTTGTTGCTCTCCAACCAGCATTCCCCAATTTGCAGTAGTTTTGTATTATCTCAGCCCTAAATACTGAGAAGAGCCCGCCAGCAAGCCCGAGGCCCAATTATTCTGTGCTCAATTGAGTACCTGTGTTTATCTTATGGAAAATGACTTTTTTAAAAGTAAATATTATTTAAATTTTAAAATGTTTATGTACAAAACAACTGTGTTTGAAACTTTTTTCTGATTTTTTTCAAATAAAATAAATTGGGAATGTTTGGAAAACAACTGATAGTTGATTCCAGTAATTGATTTCATAAATTGATTTGATTAAATATAGAAGTGTTTAGTAAATTTAGCTGATAGTTGATATGGGTAAAATGATAAATGAGAGTATGATACATTTAGTTGTTAAGTACATATATGTTTTATAATACTTAGTCTTTATTGGGGTGAAATTATTCAGATAAAACGCTTTTGACAAGGAATTAAAAGTTCCTTAAGAAAATTAGTGAATGTTTTTGAAAATTTTGAATATATTTTTTAAATTTAATGTTTATAAATATTAACCTTGTGAGATTGATTCATACTATTAACCTTGTATAAAATATCAACGCTACATTTTTTTACTTTCATGTTTTGCTATATTTTCTTAACTAAAATATATTTGAGAATCTACAACTAAAAAATAGAATTATAGATACCTGTTTTTTTCCGGTTTTTAATAATTTTTATATTATCTTTATTACTATTATTATTAATATTATTTTTATTATTCTTTTCATGTTACAAATTGGCCCAAACCAAATTACAAAGGCCCAACCACAATAACATCCAAGCCCATTCAGTTGCCAGCCCACCAGAAAACAATGCAGCCTGTAACAACCTCCAAGGCCACCCGATTCAGGACCAGAATAAAACCAATAGGACCCAAACAGCTAGGGAATGGGGCTTGATGGCCGATTTTCGGCGTCTTTAGCCATATATACCACGCCTGGAATGGTATCGTTTTGGGGAGGGGTAGGCGTGCATGGAGTGTTTGGGTAAATCTGTGGAATAGTCTTTTAGGTTTTGTAATATTTATTTTCGGCCACTGAATGAAATGTTGAAATTTTTGACTTCTGGCATCAAAATTTATTTATTTTTATTTTAGTCATTAATTGTGCTTTGATATATGTATGGTTTAATATCAGTTTTGTTGCTAATAGTGTAAGGTGATATCATTTTGGTCCTTCAATTCATGTAACTGCTAATTTTATAGATTTACACATATGACATGAAGTTTAAGCAAGGCTCGTTTTAGTCCTTACTCTGTCTTTGGCATGTACAGGAGATAAGCCTTTGATTTTGGGCTAATGATTTTTACCTCTATTCATTTTGATCCTTATATTATCGATGTGTATTAATATATGTGTCTTATTTCCTGTTTTGGAACCATTATTTCTTTTAGGAATTTATTTTAGTCACTGTTTTTGTTTTTAAATGTAAAGTTTCATAGATTTATCATATTATTTTTGTCTCTTTTCTGATATGATCCTTTGTCATATTATTAATCGATTAAACAATTTAATTAATGCGTAATTTTAGCTTGGTTGCTTTTCATTTGTTATGATGTATGTAAATATCAAGTGTTTTATTATGTATATTATTTAACATTCCTTAACCTGTGTATGTTATATATTGCTCACTTATATTATTTTATTTCATATTATTTAATGTATTTTGATTTATGAAATATTATTTTTTAATAATATGCACATCCCTTATATTTAATTTAAATTTTTTTAGTGATTTAATCGAACACTTTTAAAAACTACTGTCGTAGAATATGTGTGAAAAGCACCACCTTATAAAGGTAGTGTGATTCAAAATAATATTCAAACGAAATGTGAATTTGGAATAAATTGACTTTATTTTTTATAAATAATGATTAATTCGTTTTTGTTTTTATTTTAATTTAGATGATGCAATGCTTGTTTCTTTAGATAGTAATTTATTTTATGCAATTATAAGTAGTCAATTTATATTCCATTTGTGCTTTTTGATAACATTGGGAAGGTGGACATTTCTCGTATAAAGGATAAATAAATGAGTTAGCTTTCTCATTGGAGGATGTGTAAATTATGTGATTTCTTCTCATATTAATGAATGTTCCTTAATAATTAATTCAAAACAAATTATTAAACGTTCAATAAAAGAATCATACTTTAAATATTGTTTCAATTTTACAATTTCCACCATCTACGATAATATATAAGTGACTAAGTATCAATTTTGGGCGATGTGTGGGTGTTTATCCTTCCTCGCGTGTAATCGACTTCCGGATTCTTAAAAAATGAATTTTTGGTAAATGCACACCAACTTTTATCTTTAAATGATTTTTTCCGAATTGATTAAAAGATATTTTTAGGTATTCGATCTACCTAACCAAAAGGTCGATACTTTAAATATTGATTCAAATTTACAATTTCCACCAGTTATGATAATTAATTCAAAACAAATTATTAAACGTTCAATAAAATGATCATACTTTAAATATTGATTCCCATTTACAATGTCCACCAATTACAATAATATATAAGTGACTAAATATTAATTTTGGGCGTTGTGGGGTGTTTATCCTTTCCAACGTGTAATCGTCTTTTGAATTCTTAAAAAATGATTTTTTGGTAAACGCATATCAACTTTTATCTTTTAAATGATTTTTTCCAAATTGATTAAAAGATATTTTTAGGTATTCGATCTAGCTAACCAAAATGTTGATGAAGACTCCAATTCAAACTAATTCCAAATTCCAAATTTACAAATAAAATCATAATTAATTTTTAGAAATAAAAATAGTTATCACATGAATAATAAAATAAAACTTCACTAATTCATCATTAGACATTAGAGGTGGGTATACGGGCTAGCCGTCCATTTAGCCCGCGGGTTTTAACGGTACAGTCTTAAACGGAGCGGGCTAAAAAGTTTGCATTCATAAACGGTTTTGAATTTTAAGGCCTGCGGCCCGTCCATTTAACCCGCGGGCTAAACGGGCTTACTCGCGGCCCGTTAAATAAAAATAATTTTAAATGCTTTAAATTCAATAAAAAATAATGTTTTAACTTACTACACCTTTAAAAATGATCGAGCAACTTGAAAAGGAAGGTAGCACTGTCAAAATAATAAATAATATTTAAATTTTATTTTAAATAGCCGGAAATGATTATAAAATAATATTTTTTTTTAATTTTTTAATCATTAATATATATATATAATGATATAATTACTTAAACTCAAATTAAAAAAACAATATTCACTTATATCACCAAATTGAAAAACAAATAAAACAATAATCACATTATACTTTTATAAAACACGATTATTCAAGGCTATAATTTGAAGACACGGAAGTGTCTGAAAGCAGAAATTCAAACAAAAAAATTCAACAAAGTCAAACATTATACAAATCTAACAAGAAAGTTGTCAAGTGGTCCTAATAATTGTATTTTATGGATACTTTAGAGAAAGACTAAAACATAATATGAAAATATAAAATAAAATACTAACAGTATGAGAGTAAATTTGAAAGATACAGTTATACTAAATTGATAAAATATAAACCATTAATTTGTTAAAATATATTTATTTTGTAAAAGTCTTTAAAAGTTGAAAGGTATATTTTCATTTTTTTTCTTTTACTTTTCTTTCTTATTTTTAATCCAAATATTATGTGACTTTTTATAATTGAAGAACAAAATGGATAACATACTTCATGAAAAAAAATAAAGGTTAAAATTAAATAAAAAAATCTTTAAATACCAAAATGATAATGATGTATATTTAAATGAAAAAAATATCAAGCAACGGTAAAATTATGACAAACACCCTAATAAATTTAAGAACTACAATAGTTATAAGTAACATCATATTTATAGGTAATTTATTTTCTTTTTCTATAAAATTCTTTAAGTTTATTTTCTCTAAAATTTTATGAATTTTAAATTAAGCGGGCTTTAGCGAGTTTCGCGGGTAGCTCGCGATTATACCCATTAAACCCGCGGGTTTAACGGTTCGGGCTAAAAAGTCCGCAATTTAAACGATCTTCAATTTTTAAGGCCCGAAGCCCTCACGGGTTGCGGGTTAAACGAGTAACCCGCGGGCCTTAGCCCATATACCCAGCTCTATTAGACATTGCATTAGGATGAAGGTTATTTCATTAAATTAAGTTTTATGGTAAGGATGTAATTATAAAAATAATAAGGTCAAATATGTCATTTAACATCTTATTTTGCAACCAGTTCACCCAAACCAACGTTTTTATTTTCAGCTTATTTTGTACAATCAGGTCTTTAAAAAAGAAATGATATGTTCTTGTGTTTTTAAAAAAATAAATGATATATTCTTATGTTAGACACGTACCTTAATCTAAACATAAAATGAGATTAATAATACATAAGAAGCCTATTACCACCCTTATATATTAAGATCTATAAGGTAGTTACATGCTTGCAGCTGAATCTGCCCTTGAAAGAACCATATCAGAAAAGAATTTAAGCTACATTTTTATATCTGCAAATCACCTTACACCTTAAAACCCTTCCCTGAACATAGAATCCCGGCATCGCCATGATCTTAACCCGACTCGGTCCATGCGACTTCTGCCTTTCCATGAACATATCCTCCATGTAATGTGGATCAAAGGTTCGATTTTCTTCGATCCTTAAGATCCCCAATGGTGGATTGAATGAGAATGCCAGTAAATGGAGCAGCCATATGCATTTTGCAGCAACAAAGAAGGCTTGAAGCAGTTGTTCCGGCCACGGTCTCGTCCAATTCAGTGTCGAAAGGATCAAACTCATCTTCTGATCACAGAACTTACTGAATTCCTCACTGTAGTATTTAGTCCCTTTCCTCAGCACTTCGTTCCAACTGAGGTTTCTTAGTGCAGCGAAAGACGAAAACTGCGCTTGGCGATCTTGTTGAGGGTCCAAGAGCTTCGGGGATCCGTTTTTCTGAAACACGGAGTTCTCGAAATCTTGGTAGAGTGATTGGTTTATGATTGCTTCCAAATGGTATGATACCGCCTTCGAGTACTTCGAATTCAACGAGAGTTTATATGGTTGGAGAAGTGAGTTCAGGTTGTCCATTAAAGTACTGCCACTCTCTTCAGCTTGAGCAACAAGCGTCTTGCAGAATTGTTTCACCGATAATCTCGCTTCGGATACTATCTGCAAGAAACCCTCTACCATTACCTCTTCGCCGACCGGCATCAGGTCTTCTCCGTCGCCGCTGATGGATTTCCCTTTCCCGAGCTTTTCATTGATTTGAGAACCCTTTGTTTGTGTTGCTTTCCTTAAGGCTTTCTTCAGCTCTTCACAATAGGTTTCTAAGTACTCCAGCTTCTGCTTGAGGTCACCTAGTGAAGATCTCATCTCAACAACTTCCATCAATGCGGCATCCCTATTCTCATTTGCTTCATTCAGCTCTCTCTTCAATTTTTCAATCGATAACATGCCAAATTCCTTGAATATTTGTGAAACATCCCCCGATTCTGTTCGAGTCGGCGATTTCTCGTTCTTGTGTTTCTTCTTCAACTTGGGGAATAACCACGAAATCACCCCTCGGTTCCTCGGTTTCGGTTGAACAGAAGAGTGGGAGTATGTTAGTGGCACCACCGTATTCGAATTCTTGGTGTTCCTAACGACGTGTTCGGACTCGGCCGCTATAACGGATGGCTTGCATCGATTGCAAGATGACAATGACTTGAAATCCCCCAAACTGTTTCTCCTACTCCTAGTGGACTTGTAGAATTCAGTTCCCGGAGATGCTTGTAGGACAGTGATGTGGTTTGCACAAGAACCGGTAACGGACATTTGATCTTCTGCCGGAAAAACAAGCGATTCGAAGGCGGGCATAGCCGGAGAGAGACATTTCCTCGAACCGGAAATCTCTTTCTTATAATCTGATAAAACAGTTTCAGTGTCATTTCCTGCTTCCAAGCCACACTCATCCCAAATTTCAGATAAAACTTGGTTATTTGTATGGTATCTCGATAATGCTTCACCTCCGTAGCTCTGTAAAAATGTTTCCTTAAAGTTAGTGATAATAGGTAGAGGTGAACTAAATTCGACTCTAATATAAAAATCAAAATTCCGACTTGATTCGATGATAAAACAATTTATTTGATTCGATTCAACTTGTAATTTCATAGACTCGATTTAACTCAACTCAAGAAATATTAAATTATAAAATAAGATCGAACAACTAAATTTTTTTTTAGTAATAAGTGAATTAATCGGCAAAATTGCTCTGATGGGGTGTTGGAAAAAATAATTGGCTAGCACAGAGTCTTGTCGGAATTGTTTATTGAGATGGTGTGATGACAATGCATCTCCCCCATGTCCCCCATTTCCCCCATTCTTCCCCATTTTTCACGCAATTGGAATGTCGAAATAACTATAGAGAAGACCAGACATGAATGAACTCACAGGAGTGAAAACAGGGTACTCTTGAGCAGCAGGGCGAGAAACGGGAGATGAAAAAGAAGCGTATTTTTTATTTGAAGGGCTGTTGTTGTTCCCCATCACCAAAGCTGCATGCAAAGCTCTAAGCTCCACGGCCTTGGCAATGGCGGCCTGTATCTCTTTCCTGCTAGCTTCGTTGTTACCCTTTTCATCACTCTCTTTGTTTCGAAAGATTTGGGCAGCAGCCATTAACAGAAGATGAAACAGAGCACCACTGCATGTAATAAAGTAAACCCAATGATGAATTTTATTTACCCTCTTCTCAATAGAGAAAGAAAAACAAGAAGAAAGAGGATTAGAAGGTGGGTATTTAAGGGTTGGATTAGATTTACAGAGACGAAGATGATATGAACCAGAAAGTTAAAAGACAGACAGAGAGAGAGAGAGAGAGAGATGAATCTGTAGGGTATGTCTCTCAAATCCAATGTCTGTTTTGTCTTTGGTATCAATGAATAAAGAGAATGACAGAATGTGAAGCAAGCTTTAGTTTTTTTTTTTAATTTTTTTTTAAAACTCAATTCTGCAATAACGGATGAGATTTCCGGTTTACAAATTTGCTAATAATCCTATCAAAATAACTATTACTTCGTTAAATTAGGCGTTTAGACATAGGTAGGGATGGTAACGGGTTGGTCGGGTCTCCACTTAAATTTGATCCGAAAAATGTATATTTTTGTATCTTATTCTAATCTAAATTTTTAAAGTATAAATCAGACCCGATCTGATATAAAATAAGTACTTAATAAAAAATAATATATTTTTAAGAAAATTCTATTATTATTTTCGGGTCAGGTCAGAGTTTATTTCATCCTCTATCCGAATCTAATTTGATCTCATTTTCTTAAAAAATCTGACCTAACTCAAACTTGAAATATTTTAAAAAAATTGACCCCATCGAATCGGTTCAGGTCAGAACCCGTTGATTTCGGATTAAATTGTCATATCTAGATATAGGTAAGATTTATAAACGATCCCCTCATTATAGATTGTTGTTTTGTTCCTTTTTACTATTAAAGTTATAAAATGATCTTTTGATTATTGTGTATTTACTTTGTTGAATCTTTATACTATTAAAAATTATAAAATGGTCACTTAATTATTTAAATATTTCTAACTAGTCATATTCTAGCCAGCAGGTGAACGTCTAACGTAGACGATCGTTAATTTTTAACGTAAAATGACGAGTTTGTAACACATGAATAGTCAGATGATCATTTTGTAACTTTAAATAGTCGAGGAAATCAACAAAGTAGTTACTTATAGTCGAATGACCTTTTATAATTTTAAATGATAGAGAAAGTCAATAAAATAATTACTTATAATTAAGAGCTCGTTTTATAATTTTTAATGATCAACAAATTCAATATAAACACACCTTATAATAAAAGGATCATTGTGCATACACTATTTATGGTAAGTAAAAAGGAGAGGGGTAAGTCGGTCTTGCGAAGCTGTCCCAATGCAAATTTTGGGAGGACATAGTGTCCTAGTGGGAGTGTGGAGTAGGTATAGATTATACATTTATTAAATTGGAAAATGGAATTCCATGTAAGATTAAGGGAAATAATTTAGATAGAGAGTTGGTTGTTTTCCATAACTACTTTTGTTGGGGAAATTATTAGTCAAATGAAATAAAGGGTTTTAAGCCAACTACTCCTCTCTCCTTTTTCAACCTCCACATGCACAAACCAAGCTTTCTACTTCTTTAATCAACACCACCCCAACTAATCATGTCTTAATTAAACCCTAAAGATTTGAACTTCTTCTTCCTCCAAAGAAAAAAAATAAATTAAAGCTTAATAAATATAAAAACTAATTAGGATATAATCATGTCAAATCATCGAGAATAAAATATTAGATGCGAGAGCGTACCTAAATAAATTGATATGTTGAAATCTTTGAGTTTTTTTTCAGTTGTGGTCTCCAAGAATATAGAGTTTGAGTTCGAGCTCGAGATCAATCAATGATCAAATTGTTTAACTTTTAAACAATTATAATTTATTAAATATTTAAATCTAAAATTTTTAGGAATAAGTTATTTATTTAGTCATCTAATTATCGCTTTGGTTCTGTTTTGATCACCCAACTATTATTATTTTTTAAATCATATCTAATTACGTTTTGGTTATCTCGTGCTAAAAAAAATAATAGTGATATTGACATATTACCACAAGATAATGATACATCATCATTAAAAAATAAAAAGTATCACGTCGACTAGGGACAGACGTGAGATTTTATGTTAGGAGTGACAAACTTACAAAATTTTAGAGAGAAATGAGCTTATAAAATTTTAGGATGATAAAAACAAATTATGAATATAAAATACAAAAATTATATATATACTTCAATAAATATAATTTAAAAAATAGTTTGATAACTAAAATAGAATTAAAATGATAGTTAAACAATTAAATATGTAGTTTGCCCAATTATTTTAAAAAAAAATAATTTATACAATTTTTGGTCTGCCGTGCCATGTTAAATATTCGAGAAGTTCTGTAGTGCGACACCCTTAATATACAACTAAAAAATGTTACCGATTTTGTTATTATTTAAATAAAAAATAGGTAAAAAATTACCTTAAATATTATTATTTTTACCTAAAACATCAATATTTTTTAATATTTTCGATAAAGTGTCTAACAATAACAAAACCGGTAACGTTTTACTGATTTTGTTAACAAAACCGGTAAAATGCCCAATAATAACCAAAGTAGTATAAATAATAATTTCTGATAATTTTTACCGATTTTATTATTTAAATAATAATAAAATAGGTAACACTTTTTTTAGTCATATATTAAAACTACCGCACGTAATGATTTCTCAAATATTCTTCCAAAGGTAAAAAGTTGAAGGGAAAAAGGCAGGATTGTGGGTGGAAAAACTTTGACTTTTGTCATGTGTCGTTTGGTACATGTTGGTAGAATTGGATTCCAATTGTTTTGTAGTATTTATTATTTAACAACTAATTACTTTACATTTTATTAACATATATTAAAACTAAATAAAAAATAGTAATTATATTATAATATTGGGTAATGTACAAATTTAACAATTGAACTTTACTTTCTCTCTTATTATACTCATTGTACTTTAAATCTTTTCAATTTTCTCACTGAACTTAATACAATTGAATTTTGTTACTCAATCGTTTCCTCACTAACCACGTTATGATGTCAACTTTTTTATTTTTTAATGGATAAATTACAAATTTAATCACTAAACTTTACTATCTCTCTCTCCTATTTCACTCAATAGATTTTTAATTATTTTCAATTTAATCATTGAACTTTATGCATTGAATGTTTTGGTCACTCCTCTATTAACAACAAAAAAAAACACATAATAACGCCGTTAGTGAAGAAACGAATGAGTGACAAAAAAAACCCAATGTATTAAGTTCAATGAGAAAATCAAAAAAATTTAAAACACAATGAGTGAAATAAGATAGAGTAAAGTTAAGTTGCCAAATTTATAATTTACCCTATAATAATTTTATTAGCTTTGTATTGGTTTGGTTGGAACCATTTTGGAAAATAGTAGAGGTTTATTAGATTCCATCCTATGTTGTTTCGAAATATGTGATTCTAGGCAATGCTGAAGAGCACCTGTCTTTTATATGTAATAGTGTAATAGTGAAATAGCTCAAATTTTCATTTTAAAAAATACGATTACTTTTATTAAAGGTTGTGTACATCTAGTTAATCAATATACATGTTTGAAATTATAAATGCAATTACAAGTGATATCATTCGTATAATTATAATCATTATTAAAAAAACGAAATTGTAAATGTCAATAGTATATTTATATAACTAGAATCAGAATAAATTATTATAAAGTAGGGTAAAGTACATAAATAAACCCCTGACTATAGAGCGTTGTTTTATTGAGTCTCCGACTATTATAAAATGATCTATTGATTATAAGATATTGCTTTGTTGAGTCTCTCAATTATTAAAAGTTATAAAATGGTTATCTGACTATTCATTGTATTCTAAACTCATCATTTTTCTTTAAAGAAATGATGGCAGTTTGAGTTAGACGTTAACCTACTGATTGAGATATGATAGTTGTTTAAGATTCTGTGATCATATTATATCATATCACAATTAGTAGGTTAACGTCAAACTCGAATTGTATAATGCCCTGAAATTTCCTTGAAGGTCTAAACCGATAATTTATTTGATTCTTGAGGACTAATATAGTGACTTTTTTAAAGGTAGGAATGAACTTGGGTCTTGGTTGAATGATTTTAATGTTAAAATTTTGACTTAGTAGAAAATAAGGACTACATTGCGAAAAATGAACTACTCGACTTTAAAGTGGAAACAAGGGGAAAGTTGGACTCTTTAGGGAATAATATTCCCAACGGAATTATGGATACTAGCACAAGCAAGGGATGTGAACCATGAGATTTTGTTGGAAAACTACATCTTCAATTTAAGTCACTAGATTGAGATATTATAGCAATTTCTTTTTAATGAAAAATAAAATGGGTTATATATTGAGTTGGAAAGAGAAAAGATGAACAAAAGGGTGTTCATCATCATCATCATCTTCTCCTAGATGTCACCTTGAATGTTATTCAAGAAGACTCGGAGATTGAAAATTCTTGTGGTTAGAAGAAAGTCTATAATTGAGCCTCCTTAGAGCTCAAGTAGGTATTTTGGTAAACTAAGTAAATGTAAGTGTAATTCAAATTGTTTAACTGGATTTATGATCCATGGAAGCTAGTGGTAAGTCTCATGTAAAACATTGTATGTCCGGGTGAATGTATTAATATGAAAATTTGATAGTATAAATGAATTGTCCAAGTAGCCTAGATAGTGGTCTTAAGGTACAATGGCATGTCTAGGTCGAGCAACTGCATCTTTATACCGTCGGGTTCTTTCACCATAGTGGAGTGATTTCATATTGGTGTTGGCACTACGGTGTGGTTGACACATCGGTACGTTTGGACCTATGGGTTCGCACACCCTTGCAATGCCAGTCCCGTATTGGTTTGGTGTTTGGTGTTATATGCCAATCGTATTGGCCCGATCACCTAATTAGACCTCTTACAAGGATTACTTTGGGCAATTCATTATCAAATTCTAATGTTGAGTATGAATTCCATAGTTATTTTACATGTTGGTTTATGAGTTACCATAAAATGTCTCACTTGCTCTTTATTGTAATTTGAGTTCTTATTGCCTCACTAAGATGATTTCTTAGTGTGTATTGTTTCCACATGTAGGTACGTCGAAAGAATCCTAGTTAGTCGAGTGTTGTAACACCGATTAAGGAATACCTTAAGGAATCACTG